CTTGAAGCCAGAGAACGAGGATGAAGAGCTTGACGAGAAGAAGATTTACAGAACCACATATATGTTCAGTGCTACCATGCCCTCTGCTGTAGAAAGGCTTGCAAGAAAGTACTTGAGGAACCCAGTTGTTGTTACCATCGGAACAGCTGGGAAGGCAACCGACCTCATCACCCAGCATGTCATAATGGTCAAGGAATCTGAGAAGTCTTATAGGTTGCAGAAATTACTGGATGAACTTGCCGACAAGACAGCTATCGTGTTTATCAATACCAAGAAACAAGCTGATTTTGTGTCCAAGACCTTGGACAAGGCAGGCTACAAAGTGACCACATTGCATGGTGGCAAGTCACAGGAACAAAGGGAAATAAGTCTGGAAGGGTTTCGGACAAAGAGGTATACCGTTTTGGTCGCGACGGATGTGGCAGGACGTGGGATTGATATACCAGATGTGGCACATGTGATTAACTATGATATGCCCAATAGTATTGAAGGATACACTCATCGTATCGGGCGAACCGGGCGTGCTGGGAAGACCGGTGTCGCGACCACATTTTTGACACTTCAAGACAGCGAAGTCTTCTATGACCTTAAACAAATGCTCATCCAAAGCAACAGCCCTGTCCCTCCTGAACTTGCTAGACACGAAGCTTCGAAGTTCAAGCCAGGAAGTATTCCCGACAGACCGCCCCGAAGGAATGACACTGTTTTTACTCATTGATTTTGGAGCATTCTAACAGTTTTACAGGAAGATACTAAGGAGAGTTGGATGCATGACCTGGTGGGACCCCCCTTGCTTCTGGTAATATGTCACTGGCTTTTTCTTTTTTGTTTTTTTAATTGATGTTAGTTTTGTTTTTAATTCATGAGTTTGGAAAAAAAAAGTGTAATGACTTTCAATGACTTTGAGGACTCAGCTCTTTTATCCTGGTCTTGAGAACTATGCTTAGGATGTTCATCTTGCAACTTCACAATTATGGGTAAGCATGCAATATTAAATCCATCTTGTGCCTATATGATCTTTTACCTAAACCCATTATCTTTACCATTGTCCCTATATGATATACTCGTATTTCCAACACAATGCTTGAAGAAACATATTTTCTATTGTTTCTGTAAACAACCAGAACCCAATTGAAACCCCAAGAGTAGGGTCTGGAAGGGTGTTTTTGTAATTTGATTCTATTTAATTAGATGATATAGAATATATTTTTGCACATGGGAGTAAATTTAGCATAAATTTTAAAACAAAAGTACACCCCACACAAAACAAAATAGAATCTAAAATATATTTTTGCACAAGACTTTTTTCTCATTTTAAGGCTGGTCTTAAAAAAATTCATAGACCAACTAGTCAGCCTTATAGAAAAAGATTAAAAGTAATCAAGGATATAGCAACTTTGGCCCTCATAATATAAGCAAAGATATGCTTGTTGGGGAGCATGTATTGCTATCCAATTTGAAGCTACCACTATCATGACCCTCTTTTGTGGGGTGTTACGGAGGGGTTGGGATGGGGGTGCAGGGGTGGGGGTAGGGTGGGGGGATTTAGGGAGTAGGTTAGGAGAGTAGGAACCGTCAAATTTACGAACGGAGCATCGGAAGTGCCCCAAAATGACAGTGGCACCGGAGTGTCACTGTACTCCGGTGTCACTAGAACCCCACCGTTATTGATCAGTTTAAAAACTAAAACTCAATTCACTTTCTTCTATATTATTGTCTGAACCTTATGATATGAATCATATTTCTTGTTTCTTCTAGGTTTTTTTTCGGAAGTGTTGGTCCAAAAGCATAAGGTTCTTATACATATCATAAACAAGTTTCACTTCTTATTGACTAATTTGAGATTAAATTTCAAATTTACATTTTGGTTAATTACTATCCGGACTAGTCGGGAGGATCCTAAAATATGTTTCGTTCTAGTGTGTCAATCGTCCTTTTTGTTTTTTCTAAGTTGTTTCTCCCAATAACATTTGGCCCAAAAACATAAGGTTCTTATACATATCATAAACAAGTTTCACTTTTTATTGACTAATTTAAGATTAAAATTCAAATTTACATTTTGATTAATTATTATATATCCGGACTAGTAAGGAGGATCCTAAAATATGATTCATCCTTTTTTTGGTAAGTTGATTTGCCTGTCCCAATAAGTCTGAGCAAAAAAGGCAATCATCATGGAATTTTTGTCCTCCCAATAGGAATCTAAAGGTGCTGTAGGCTAAAGATGGGATCAAGAGTGGATGAACCACCCATCTGGTTTCCAAGGAACAATTGTTTTTAATGAGAATCAGGCCTTCTTTCAATCTTTCATACTAACTCTAACCTTTTGAAAATCTTATGTAAAAAATGTGTGGCTTTCCCATATTAGAGGTTACATAAATGTTCTAATTCTAGTTCGATGCTATTTTGACCATTTGTCCTTAATAGAGTAACTAAAAAAAATTAGATTTAACATTTTTATTTATTTATTTTAATGAGTGCAATTGACTCTTTTAGTGAGTGCTCCGGAGTATGTAGAGCGTAGTACCTCTTCATATTTTCTCAATGTTATGACACACATTGAGGAATGAGCCAATGCATCCGCCTCCACTAGCTAGAAATCGAATTTGGACGAACATGTTTATGAATTTTGGTGATTGGACTTCCTACCATTCAAACTTAAACTTTCAGTTTATGGGCTTTTCAGAACACTCTATTGTATACATAATGAATTAGAAAAATGGGTGGCGGAGAGTGTAGCATAGCCGGAAGCTAAAGGGTGCAAAAGAAAGTAATATTCAGATTCTACTCCTGACAATGACAACGAGTGATACGGAAGAATAAATACATTATTTAATTAGGTATGTATATATTAATATTATATACTCTCTACGTCCCATAAAACTTTTCTCCTTTCTTTTTTTATCCGTCCCACAAAACACTTTTCATTTCTATTAAAAAGTCACTTTTACCCCTTACTTTTTCATACCCTAACTATCACATCATACCTTTTACTAATAATCTATCCATCAAATCATATTTTTACCCATCACATCAAAGGATATTTTTGGAAATTTAATACCAAAATACACTCTCCTTAAATTCCTCCTAAAAAGCAAAGCTCCCATGTTTCACGGGACGGAGGAATTAGTTACTCCGGTATTATGTTTGGATTTAGTATGGGCCCGAGCCCATTAGGTCATTAGAGTGTTCCTCCATCTCTATATATTGTAACCTACCCTTTTATCATTACGAATCAATGAATAAATTTTCATCTTTCTCTACCTCTTTTTCTTGAAGCTTGAAGAATGCTCGAAATTCTTCCCTATTCGATACGATATTCGTATCAAGTATCAACGAGGTGCGATGCACTATAGAATTCTGTGTATATAGAAATAAATTTCACTATTATTTATAGTAACCTATAAAATAATTTACATTGTTTCTTTGATTATATTGAGGTTTTGTTTAGTGCGTGGAGCTTGCCAAAATTCGTCTTGGTCTTATTTGCGTTTTAGTCAAAAGTGATGGATCTCCCATTATTGCGAGTATATTTGATAGAATTGAAGTACAATAATATGAAAGTTTATAAACTCTTTACATGATTAGATTAGATTAGATAACTATTATTATCATGGACGTAGTAGAGTAACTGGGTTCCATGTGATGGAATGCAATTGTGGAGGCCATATGCACTTTTTGACTAAATTAAAACCTATTCCCACGACTTACTATTTGTGCTCTGTACGTGTGTGTGGAATTGTGCATGCATTATTCTGCCCCTTCATTCTTAGACAAGCCATATCTTTGTTATTAAAAAATTATTTTTGCCTTTTTAAATTTTTACGCTTTCTATCACATCATACATATTCATTAATAATCTTTCCGTTACGTTCTATTTTTGTACCTGACATCAAGAATAATTGGGAAAACTTAATACAAAAATTAAATCTCTTCCTTAAATCTTCTAAGAATCAAAACAAAGACTTTATGAGAAGGAAGAAGTATTATCATCTTAGTTTGGCTTTAGGCTTCCGTTTCTGTTACACACACGGAGCTATCACATTGGTCAAAGCTCTGACATTGCCGCTATAGAAAATATGTATCCCGACTAAACAAACATATACTCTGTATGGATTATACTAATGTCTCATAATATTCCTAATCAATGTTTAATTTCACTTCATGAATTTTAAAAAAAGTGTTAAACGTAAAATATATGATTCTTGCGTCCTAAAAACTAGGGGTGGCACGGTCTGTGACGGTTCGGTATTTTTAAAGAAGCTGTACCATACCGTTACTTTTCAAACGGTTCGGTACGATTTCGTTTTTATGCCTAAACTCATTCGGTACCAGGTCTTTCGGTAACGCGCGGGATGTTACCATGCCATACTAATGCCTAACCATTCCATAATACTTCGACGTTTTGAAAATATTTTTATTCATAACAAACAACCGACGTGATTAAAAATTGGTGCACACATATTTTTATGCATTCTTAGTTTCTTACTCAACATGAGTATTACTTAGTTACACTTTTTTAAAAAAATTCATCATAGTTCGCATTTTTTACAAATAAAAGTATAATCCAAGTTATACTTCAAGGTAATAAAGCACGGAGTATTATAAAAACATAAGTTTAAGTTTGTGAAAGTCACACAAAATAAATATCACCTAAATTTACTAAAAATTAACAAATGGCAATGTATAATTAATTTATTAGTTTAATATTTTAATGGTAACGGTTCGATTTGGTTTTTATTTTTTGGAACCCCGTCCTGTATCATTTGGAAAATGGTTCAGTTCGGTTCAGGATATAATTTACTAGAACCATTTGAAAATTTGCTTTTTCGGTTTTGGTACAATATCGATCAGTCCGGTTCGGAAGAATGTCGGACCGGTATTTTTGTCCACCCCTACTAAAAAGAATGTCATAGTTTACTATTTAAAAATCATGAAATTTTTTTCTTAATTTAATTTTTTTATTTATATACAAATCTTTAAATAAAATGAATTTAAAAAGCTTAAACCTTGTTTTACTTATACCAGAAAATATTTTGGAATGGAGGGAGTACATTCTTAACTTTATTTATTTGGAAAAGAAAGAAGGAAAAAAAAGCAAAATATAACTTAAAATTAATGATTAAACATTCATTCAATTTTTCCTAGAATAATATTGATGGAGATATAGACCGAGATACCTATGCCCATACTTGTTAGGCTCGGCCAAGGACATCAAGCACGTCACAGAGGTGGCACACTCGGATTCGCTGACACGCTCGGCCATATGCAAGGTAGAGCCGTGAAACCTTAGCAACTTGTCCTACTTATGGCCACCATCGGCGTATAAGAGTAATGATAGATATAAAATCTGGTATATTTCATCAAGAGGAAGCCTTTGGCTTTATATATACACACATACGTACAAGGAGAGAAGGCTATGCTAAACCCAAGGCACAAAGATAGGGAAGTTACACCATAGAGATAAGAATAAACACAAGATAAATACAAGTAGATACAATGAACCTAGACATTCTAGTTTACGTAGATGTCTCCTTAATACGCCCCCGCAAGATGGTGGATCCGTCGGAGACACCAATCTTGGACCGAAATTTGTGGAATAGAGCGCGACCAAGAGGTTTCGTAAGTATGTCAGCAGTTTGCTGCGTAGTAGGCACATGAATAACCTGTAGATGACCAGCAGCAACGAGATCCCGGACAAAAAAATAATCAAGGGCAAGATGCTTCATGCGAGAGTGAAAAACGGGATTCTTGCAAACATATACGGCACTAAGATTGTCACAATAGAGGCGTGGAGCAGGAAGAGACCCGACACGAAACTCAAATAAGAGGTTTTGAACCCAAGAGAGCTCAGCGACGGCATTGGCGAGAGCTCGATATTCAGCCTCCGTTGACGAACGAGACACCGTTTTCTGACGGGCAGATTTCCATGAGATAATATTGGTCCCAAGGTAGAGAACATACCCTGTGGTGGACCGTCCACCATCAGTAACGCCACCCCAATCAGCATCAGAAAACGCAGAGAGCTGTAGAGAAACGGCCCGGGAAAGAAACAAACCATGAAATAATGTAGACTTGAGATATCGGAGAAGGCGCTTGAGTGCCTCCCAATGTCCGGTAGTGGGAGCATGCATATACTGAGCAAGCCTATTAACCGAATAGGAAACATCGGGCCGAGTGAGGGAGAGATACTGCAGCCGACCAAGGACCCGGCGAAAAGCAGTAGCATCAGCAGGGGAAGCGACAGTGGACGAGGCAAAAGAGGACTTAGCCATCATGGGGGTGGAGGTACCCTTCGCATCAGCCATGGCCGTACTGTCAAGGATATTAGTGATGTACTGGGCTTGAGACAGAAACAAACCAGACGACGTAGGGACAACCTCGACCCCAAGAAAATGACTAAGAGTGCCCAAATCCTTCGAAGAGAACCTGCGGGACAATGTCTCAACAAACGAGCTAATAAACACAGATGAGTTACCGGTAATAATGATATCATCCACATAAACCAAGAAATAAGCCAGCACATGGTCCTTAGCATACACAAACAAGGAGGAATCAGCTCGCGACTTACGAAAACCTGTAGCAAGTAAGAAAGCCGATAAGGAGTCATACCACGCGCGGGGAGCCTGCTTCAACCCATAGATAGCCTTAGAAAGCCGACACAAATGCGAGGGAAAATCCGGATGAACATAACCAGGAGGCTGCTCCATAAACACCTGCTCGGACAGCTTGCCATTAAGAAAGGCATTATTAATATCCAACTGTCGCAGCGGCCAGTTATTCGCAAGTGCAATACTAAGCACAAGACGAATTGTAACGGGCTTCATAACCGGACTGAAAGTCTCAAAATAATCACGACCCGGCTGCTGTAAGTACCCCTTGGCGACTAGACGAGCTTTAAAACGATCAACAGACCCATCCGGTCGGCGCTTGATACGAAACACCCATTTGCAACCAATCGGGCGTTGCGCTCCCCGAGGCACGAGCTCCCAAGTAGCATTTTTGAGTAACGCTTGATACTCGGCATCCATCGCCGCCCGCCAACGGGTATCCTTTAGAGCTTGAGCAACAGATTTGGGTTCAAGAGACTCGGGTAGCGGGTGACGGGTAGTAGCATGGGACTCCGGAGAACTGATGATAAACTCAGGATTGAAAATTCTGGGGTTAGGACGACGCTGTCGAACTGGACGCAAGGCTCCGAGGTTAGGAGCAGGTACAGACGGGACAGAAGGAACCGAAGGATCCGAAGAATTGCCAATAGTGGATGTGGGATCGGAAAACGCAACAGTGGGAGATGTGAGAGGAGGATGTACGGGACTGATATTTGGAGGAATTTCTGGGCTGGGAACCGCGGAGACCAGTGGCTGGCGTACCGCTGGAACAGGAAGTACGAGCGACTGGGAGGAATTAGAGGGAGATAGAGACGCAAAAGGATAGCGAGACGGAACAAACTTAACATGGCGAGACATATAGACGCGGTTTGTTTGAGGATCAAGACACATATACGCAGACTGACTAGTAGAGTAACCAACGAACACACACGGGATAGACTTTGGTTGGAGTTTAGAAGTGGTATACGGACGAAGCCAAGGATAGCACAAACACCCAAACGGTTGAAGTTTGAGGTAGTTTGGGTCTTGGGAAAAAAGACATTGATATGGACTACGATTCTGGAGGAGAGGAGTGGGCATGCGGTTTATAAGATAGACCGCGGTTTGAAACGCATACGGCCAATAGGAAAGAGACATGGACGCATGATGAAGTAACGACAAACCCGTCTCAACAACATGACGGTGCCTGCGTTCAGACGTACCATTATGCTCAGGGGTGTGAGGTGGGGTAGTAAAGTGAGACACCCCGTGAGACACAAGAAACGGACACAGTTTAATATATTCTCCACCATTGTCAGAGTAAAGAGAGATGATGTGCCTGTTAAAAAACTTTTCCACCAATCTTTTATATAGTGGAAAGATAGCAGAAACTTCAGATTTACGGCGCAATGGATAGAGCCATACATACTTGGTGAAATGATCAACAAAGATAACATAATATTTATAGCCATCAATAGACACATCATTGCAGGACCATGCATCAGAATAGATGAGTTGTAACGGAGCAGTACTGGTAAGAGAATTATTTGAGAAAGGCAATTTATGACTTTTATTAATGGAACAAGAAGAACAATGAAAAGTGTCAAAATCAAGTTTAGACACTTGTTTATTACAATAGGGTAACATGGTCAACAAGACTTTATTCGAGGGGTGCCCAAGAGCATGATGGAGATCGGACAGACCGACATGATGCACCTCCGGCGGACGAACAGGAAGAGCGTAATAAACACCACCATGATTTTTACCGTGAAGAAGAGGCGCCCCCGTTGTCAGATCCTTAACCACAAAAGACAAAGGAAAAAATTCAACGGAGACATGATTAGATTGACACAATTTTGAAATAGACACTAGATTTTTTGAGAGTTTAGGAACACACAAGACATTGGTTAAAGAAAGTGACCCAGAGGACGTTGGTATGGAAGTAGTACCAACATGAGAGATAGGGAGACTCGTACCGTTGCCCAGGCGAATCTCATCAGGACCCCCATAGTCAGCGAACGATTGGAGATGCTGAGGCGCAGGAGTAGTGTGGTGACTTGCACCACTGTCAAACATCCACTGAGTCATCCCACCAGCAGGAAGAGTGGTGGCGTGGACCGCAGGAGCCGAAGAAGAAATCGTCTGCATGCCATGTTCACGGAGAAGGCGAGCCAGTTTACGGCAAACTTTAATGTCATGCCCGGGAATGGAGCAGAAGTGGCAAGCTGGAGAGGACCCATCATGACGGCGGGACGACTTGAAGGACCCCCCGGAAGAAAAACGTTGATTACCAGAGGACCGAGAGAACGATGCCGACGAACCAGAAGCACTGCCAATGTGTGGACGTGGGCCAGTAGAGGGATGGCGTTGAGTAGCATGGGCAGTAGCCACCACGGTGGAAGCCGCATCATCAGTAAGGGTTAGTTTGCGTTCAAAATCATGCAAAACGTCACCAAGTTCAGAAAACGGAAGTTTTCTGAGACGGGGGATGCCATGCTTAGGCCGAGGAACAGAGAATCGGCTGAGAAGGAAAGGATCGAGCTAGAAAAAAAATTCTAGGGCTTTGATACCATATAAGAGTAATGATAGATATAAAATCTTGTATATTTCATCAAGAGGAAGCCTTTGGCTTTATATATACACACATACGTACAAGGAGAGAAGGCTATGCTAAACCCAAGGCACAAAGATAGGGAAGTTACACCATTGAGATAAGAATAAACACAAGATAAATACAAGTAGATACAATGAACCTAGACATTCTAGTTTACGTAGATGTCTCCTTAATACGCCGCCCTCAGTAAATCCGAGGTCACATCCCCCGTCTTGAGGTCGACTCCTAAGATGTTGTGAAGCCCTGTGGTCGAGGCGACAAACATCGTGAGACAGCGACACATTATAGCTATGGTCAACCAGATAGGCGTCATGAGAGAGTTGTATCATAGAGGTAAGGATAAATGTAATTAATGAGGATCATTGGCTGTGACCTAGAATGGTTGGGCCTTGCCTAATCTTACTACTTGGTTTTATCAATAGACTTCTTTGTTCAACAAAGGGGGGTCAAATCCAGAATATTCAAGATGATACATTAAACTTTCTCTCTCTACAATTTTATTACACATATCTTTAGAATCCATTAAGTGGTGCTCTCGGTGAGAGGGTTGAACACATCAAAACTTCATCCTCCCTTAATATAAAAAAATTACCAAATTCACGTGAAGACCAACTTTCGTTACTCACGATGCTGTCTAAATAATGGCTCCCACCGATAAATGCAATGTAGAGCGAGGCTGAGCATAGCGTGCAAAAGGACTCGGTGTCTTCCCATAGAGGATCGACAGACCTCCGGGACACCCTCAGCCAACCGTTGAGGGGTGGCCTATGTAATTGCTTGTTTAACCAGGTTGTGCCATTGTAAAGAAGTTTCCCCTGGTTCCGAATTAGCAACATTAAATCGTATAAGAGGCAGTTCTGGGAAACACTTAGGGAGGAGCTTCGGTGGACTGTTCATGGACTTATTCAAGCTTTAGAATTCATAGATAACGTTAATTTGTATGCATAGCCAATCGTAGATTTGTTCATGCGAACTATTTGATTGTAATTGAGATGTTAGCCCAAACTTTGTGAATTGTGATCAATAGTTAGAGCTGATTTAAACATGAAATAGGTGTTGATTAATAGTTAGACGTGTTGGAGTCCAAATAAGAATATGGTGATATCTTAATTTCTAGATGTTAATGTGTTCTAGACCTTGAAACTTTATTTTGTTTTTCACCTGTGCACTAGGGGGTACTGACACCGGACGGTAGTCTGGTACCGCCTATCGATAACCTGCTACCGCCACAGGCGTGGTTTACGGGTTGGAGATGTTTCCGGATGGTATGATGGTAGCGGCTAACTGTACAAAAGTATCGTCTGACAGTACCAATGTACTGTGAAGCATAAGTGTTCTCTTATGGTCTCTGAAATTAACTGTCACGGATGATTTTGAGATTTTGTGTGCTGCATGACGATAAGTGCAAGGTGTTTACAACCAACATTAAGTTGATGTTTGTATTATGTAAATAATTATCTGATTATTGTTATCTCTCTTTTTATATTCTTAATATAATATGCCTTGAATGAATATAGTGAACTGAGGTCTTTGTTAGTATGGATCTGAACATGTAAAGTAATTTAATGACATGGGTTACTTGAGGGAACTCTAGGAATACCCTACTCTAATCGAGATTGTAAGTTGCCAATAGATTGTAGAGCCTTGTGGATTTAGTGTCTAGTGGCATTTAGATAAAAATGTACGTACGTACATGGAATCAAAATCTAATCTGTAGTATTGGAGGTTTCACACAACCTGCACCGTAGGTACCGGGTTGACCAGAATCATGGTTTTAAGTAGGGGTTCTAGCTAGGTCATAGACTAGACTTAAGCCATGGCCGTAGATAGTGACTCTAAGTCCTATAACAAGATTATGAATTATGATGAGTTTGCCTTAGTCTACTGTAGGTTATGAGCAAATGATAATGAAGAGCTTAAATAGTAGCCTGATCTGTGAATTTATTTAATGTTGTTATGTAAACTACATGTGCATGGAACGTAACACTATGAATGATTATGTATGTGGAATTAGTCTTATATATGACTTCTATTTATAGAACTTGTTACTCAGCGTAAAAGCTAGGCGTGTAGCTAGTTTGTTTTACTTGCTACACGTAGGTAATATGAATGATGAATAAAGAAACAATACTGAAAGGCAGCAAGAATAAGGAGATGCATCAGGGTGGATGCATGTCTAAGGAGTTTATTTAATTAAATATTTCTGTTTAAACGTATTACTTTCTTTTTAGGCAAGAATCCAAAGTTGTATTTTGAATTAAGTACTTAAGCTTCTGCATTGTGTTGTTTACTCTGATGGATATTTAATATTGTTTTTGAATTAAGGGTTTAAAGTATTTTGAAAATTATTGTGTTTGGATGCCAACTAGTGACAACCCGGTCCGCTAGTCCATCTATTTGAGTTACGCGGGTTGACGTGTTACACAAATTGATTAACTGAGCTTGATTGGACCAACTAGGCAGAGCGAAACAATTAACGAGGGATCCCAATTCTATTTTTTAATATAATTTCATCAATCATTTGCTAAAATAAAATAATCATTTTACCACTTGTTGAGTAGCACTTTTGATTCCCATCTCGATTTTTAGGAAATTTAACGGAGAAATATTTTTGTGTTGACTTTCTAGAAATACTCTTGATGTGATGGTTAAAGTAGGATGTGATGAATATATTATTAGAAAAAAGGTATAATGTGATAGTTAGGTTAAGAATTTGTAGGGGTAAAAGTTGTTTTTTAATAGAAAAGGGAAAAAGTTTGTGGGACAAGAAAAAAAGAAAGGGGAAAGACTTTTTGGGACGGATGGAATAGTTCTTTAATACATATTTTTTTAATTCTACAACACGTTTTATTTATATTCATTCAAAAATAATTGCAATCAAATATAATAAACTAAATAGAGTTTTCTTTTGGGAGGGCGCAAATATAGTAAACTAAATAGAGTTTTTTTATGTTAAAAAAATAGAGTTTTTTTGCTAATATTTGTCTACTTTTGATTTTTTCGGTCAAAATTGGTAAATTTTGACCCCAAATTAAATAAAAATAATATTTGATATTGATATAAAAATAGTTTTATTAGATTTATTATATAAAATATTTTCGAAATATTATTTTGTCTAATTAATATACAATATACGTAGTATATTTTATTTAATTATAGTTCAAATGTTAAAAATATTGGACTAAAAAAAGTTAAAACTAGACAAATACTTCGGAAGGACATAATATATTTTAAGAAGGAATTTATGTAAATAGCACTAAAACATACTAGTAATAACTTTTCTTAAATAACATCATACGTTTTTATTTCTCAATGTAGTACTTTTAGTCAGTATCTATTACTCATTATTCAAGCAAATATTTACTCCTTCAGGATATTATTAACACTATGTTTGGGTCAAGGAATTTGAAAGGGAAAAGAAAAGAAAATGGAGTGGAAAACCATTTTTCTTGTTTGGTTGCAGGAAAAAAGAAAGAAAAAGTGGAAGGAAAAGAAAATGAGAAGGCAAAATGTACCAAGTGGAGAGAAAATCAAATTCCTTCCATTTTGGTGAGGAAAATGAAAGAAAATCATTTTCTTTTCCTTTCCTCCCAAAATCCTTGAGCCAAACATAGTGTAAATGTTATTTAAGAAATAAAAAAGTTTAAATGGGAAACGATTTTAATTTTTGCGGTGCAAATATTTCATATCACTCTATTCTTAAAAGAAGGGGAATTATTTTCCCGCCCAATGCACTCATCTCCTGCACCGTCGATATCAAGGAACAAATAAGATCTACGGCTATGATTGGTTGTGTAATATTACCTATTTAGAATGATAAATTAAAGAAAATTTAACATGCATAATCACTCTATTCTGATAAAAAAGAAAGGGAGTACTTTGTTTCCTAACCAATTTCGCCTAATTACTTGATTGTGATAAAAAGGAAGGGACGGTGCAGGAGATTTTTTATATTTTGTTTCCTTTTTAAATAAGTAATTATTTACGCCTAATTATTACTATTATTATTATTATTATTATTATTATTATTATTATTATTACTTGGAATAATTTACGCCTGATTATTTTATCAAAATAATTATTTATGTCTAATTCAATAGGTAATTATTTACTTAATCATATATTCTTAAAAGAAAATACTTTTAAAAATAATAGAATGATAAATTAAAGGAAATTTCGCATGCATAATTACTTAATTCTGATACAAAAAGAAGGAACTAATTTCAGAAACAAGATCTACGTTGTTTCCTTTTTGGAATAATTTCGCACGCATAATCATTTAATTACTCTAAACTTATTTAGAATGATAAACTAAAGGAAATTTTGCATGCCTAATACGGAGTATATTTCTAAAAAGGAAACAAAATATAAAAAATATTATTTATATAAACTTCTTTTCTAATACCAAACGTTTTTATAAAATTGGAATTGATATAATAAAAAAAATGATTACCATTCAACTAAAAATAATATTTGTCCATAAAAGATAATAATCACGTTAAAATGTAAATTTTTTAATCAATGCATTAAATTTACAGTTTCGTAATTTATATAATTTCCAATTAAGAAACAAACCATTTTAATCATACAAACCATTTGTTTCCTTTTCCAATTTAGAAACAAATCATTTTAATCATACAAACCATTTGTTTCCTTTTTGGAAAGAAATCAAATCTAAAAGAAATGTCAAAGTAATACATAGAAATGGTGGTACATATAGTAAGTGTTGAATAAATATGTTAGCGGGTATTTGTAATTGGGTCGTAAATATTGTGTTATCGGGCCTGTTCATTTAAGCCCATCATGTACTTGTATATATATCGTATCGTGAGTAATGAAACCCAGAACAGTTTCCGCTAAATTTGTACATGGTATCAGAGCCAAAACCCTAGGCTTTCACGGGTCCCTGCTCTCGGGCGTACGTTCGGCCTAAAACCCAGGCCTGCGCCGCTTTTCCGTTTTCTGATTTGCTGTGCCTTGATCGTGGCTTGTCTCTCCAACAAAGGAAGAAGCACAATTATTGGTGCTTGCTAATTCCCTTTTCTCTTGGACGCAGCACGGTATTATTTTTGTTCTTGGATTTGTCGCAGATTCCATTGGTATTATTCTTGTTCTTGGAATGGCGGCCACTACTAAGAAGACTCGTTTGATTCACGACTCATCGTCCGAATATTATCTTCATCCGTCTGAGGGTCCAGGTAATACTTTGACAAAGCATGTGTTAAAGGGCGATAATTTTGATACTTGGGAGAAAACTATATTCAATGCTTTAAAGGGACGCAGTAAGGCGGGTTTTTTGACCCCTACGGGAATGCCTAAGCCAACTGATCCTGCGGAGCTAGAGGCATGGGAAGCGAACAATTCTACGATATGTAGTTGGATTTTTAATAGTGTGGATGAAATCATACAACCTAGCATTGCTTCTCATAATATTGTTCATGAACTCTGGTCTGATTTGAAAGCTCGGTACAGCACTATAAACGAGCCCCGGATATATCAATTGGAGAATGAATTGCAGAATTTGAGACAAAAGGGTCAAACTGTGGTGATATATTACAATCAATTTGTCACTTTATGGAACAAATTGTATGGCGTGGAGGACCCAACTTGCGGCTGTACGTGCGCGGCTGCCACCATCCTACGTGCTAATGCGGAGAAAGCAAAGACACGTAAATTTTTGTTGGGTTTGGACGACGAACAGTTTGGCACTATTCGGGGACAAATTTTGGGCACTCAACCTCTTGCAGATTTAAACCGAGCATTTTATTTGGTGACTCAGGAAGAGCGTCACAGGAGTGTGGTGCGTGCGCGTGATGACCGCACTGATGCTATGGCCTTCGCTACTCCTCGCTCTACTCTTAATACATATCAATGTACTCATTGTGGGAAACAGGGGCATACGGCGGATCGGTGTTATTTGATCATTGGGTTTCCACCTTCTGGCCGAGGACGAGGCAGGACTTCTACCACACGAGGGGGAGGACGTGGTCACCGCGGTGGCCGAACCAGTGGACAGTCGCTGCCCCCCTTTCCTTCCGGACAGCCTGCCGGCCAGTCGCTGCCCCCGGCGGCTGGTCCTACGGCCAATGCAGCGGCGGATGTCCCCCCTTCTCTTTCCGCCATGTCTCCTGATCAAGTTGCACGGCTGTTTTCGATGATTTACTCCGCACCATCTTCTTCAGATAAACTTCAAGGTATGTCCTTTAGTGTGCCTTGTGAATGGCTTGTGGATAGCGGAGCTTCTCATCACATGACAGGTTTATTGCATTGCTTGACCGATGTTGTACAACGGCCTTCTTGTACTATCAGTTTGCCCGATGGGACTCATGTGGTGGCAAACTCGTGTGGCCGTGTACAAGTGTCCTCTTCCTTGATATTGCATAATGTTTTATATGTTCCCAATTTGAAGTGCAATTTGATATCCGTGAGTTGTCTTGTCAACTCACATAACTGTCGTGTTTTCTTTGATGACCACTTTTGTGTGATACAGGACCGAACTACGAAGACTCGGATTGGACAATGTGAGGCACGCAACGGAGTCTATGTCCTTACTTCTCAACCCCAGGCATCTAGAGCCGAGTCTGTTTCCTTGTTACACAAGCGTCTTGGCCATCCATCTCCACAAGTGTTCTCTTTTCCTCCATTTAATAAAAGCCATGCTGAAATTAAAAACTTTCAGTCATGTGACATTTGTTTCTTTTCCAAACAGACTCGTTCTAAATTTTCCCCCAGTTTTAATAAAGCTGAAAACTTGTTTGACTTAATTCACTGTGATTTATGGGGTCCATATTCTCCAGGTATTTCTACTGGGTCTCATTATTTTATTACCATTGTGGATGATTATTCTAGAGCTGTTTGGGTTTTTCTTATTATTGATAAAAGTGAGGTTGCCAGTTGTTTGAAACAGTTCTTCTCTCTTATTAATACCCAATTTGGTAAAACCATTAAAATTGTTCGTTCGGACAATGGCACTGAGTTTTTGAATAGGCCTCTGCGTGAATTTTACAATAGTATGGGGGTCCTTGTGCAAACTTCTTGTGTGAATACACCCCAACAAAATGGTCGAGTCGAGCGCAAACACCGTCACATTCTTAATGTCGCTCGTTCTCTCATGTTTCAGGCCTCTTTACCTCTCGAGTTTTGGGGTGAATGTGTTCGCACCGCCGTTTATCTTATAAATCGTACACCTACTCCATTGCTACAGGGAAAATCTCCCTATGAACTTCTTTCTTCAAGGCCTCCAGACTTGTTTCATCTCCGGGTATTTGGATGTTTGTGTTTTGTTCGCAACATTCAGCGACCACCAAATAAATTTTTCCCAAAGAGTGTCAAATGTATGTTTGTGGGGTATCCTACGGGTACTAAAGGTTGGCGGGTTTATGATCTTGAGTCTCATCGTTTCTTTCATACCCGAGATATCTCATTCGATGAATCCATTTTTCCTTTTTCCGTCTCTAAAGACTCACCCACCCCGGATACATCCTCCCCACCTCTGCATGCCGACTTCCCTACTCCACACACTGCCGAAACTGCTGCCGAAACTGCCGCCAGCCACCCCCAACCCACTGCTTTCTCTTCCGGCAGTGCGTCCCCAGGCAGCGCAGAACCCAGCAACACCTCCACCGAAAGCCAGGTTAGTTCGTCGTCCTCCCCTCCCCTGCCCCCTGTCCGAAACCGACGCCCCCCAGCCCATCTTTCCGACTATTATTGTCATACTGCCCAGGCATCGGCTCCTGTTGCTCCTTCTATTGCTCCTTCCCGTTCTTCAGGTACTCGGTATCCTATCCATAATTTTGTTCATTATGAGAAATTGCATGACAGGTACCGTGGATATCTAGCCGCCTTCTCCGCACACGAAGTCCCCAAAACATTTAAGCAAGCCATGCAACATGCGAACTGGCGGCTAGCTATGCAACAGGAAATTGATGCCTTGGAGAAAAATCATACTTGGGACATCACAGATCTCCCTCCAGATCGGACGGCATTGGGTTGTCAATGGGTGTTTCGTACCAAGTTCCGATCTGATGGTACTAAGGAGCGGGATAAGGCACGACTAGTTGTCTTGGGGAATCACCAAGAATTCGGTACGGATTACAACATGATACCTTTGCTCCTGTTGCTAAAATGGGTACGGTGCGTATTTTATTATCTGTTGCTGTGGCTAAACAATGGGAAATTCATCAGCTTGATGTTAATAATGCATTTTTGAATGGGGACTTAATTGAGGAAGTTTATATGCGGTTGCCACCTGGGTATTCTATTCCCGGTAAAGTTTGTCGTCTCCGTAAATCTTTGTATGGGTTGCGACAATCTTCGAGAAATTGGTTTCACAAGCTTAGCTCCGCTCTTCGTGTTTGGGGCTTTAAACAGGCTCATAAGGACCACACTCTCTTCATTTTGCACCGTGGCAATGATATTCTCACGGTTTTGGTGTATGTTGATGATATCTTGGTTGCAGGTAATAATCCGTCCATGTGTGCCTCCTTCAAACGGTATCTAGACCGTTGTTTTCAACTCAAGGATATGGGCCCAGTTAAATATTTCTTGGGCATTGAATGTGCTCGATCTCCTGATGGTATGGTTCTCTGTCAACGCAAATATGCACTGGAGATTTTAGAGGAGGCTGGCTTATTAGGATGCAAACCGGCGGGGACACCACTGCCGACGGCGCATGGTCTCTCCACTTCGGCAGCGCCTCTCCTCCACGATCCAGCGCGCTACCGTCGTTTGGTCGGCCGTTTGATTTACCTCACCATCACCCGTCCTGATCTTTGTTACTTTGTTCATGTGTTATCTCAATTTATGCAGGCACCTACTCTTGATCACATGAATGCCGCTATGCGTGTCCTACGTTATATCAAAGGTCACCCTGGTCAAGGTATCTTCCTTAGTGCCATGAGTAATCTTCAAATTACTGCTTATTGTGACTCTGATTGGGCAAGTTGCCCACTCTCCCGGCGGTCGGTTAGCGGGTATTTTATTATGCTTGGTAATTCTCCTGTGTCTTGGAAGACTAAGAAACAGATCACTGTGGTGCGATCATCTGCAGAGGCCGAATACAGAGCCATGGCCAATGCATGCGTGGAGATACGTTGGATGCATGGTATTCTTGGCGCGTTAGGCGTCCCCATTTTATATCCTCCACGGCTGTATTGCGACAATCAATCAGCCTTATATATTGCAGCAAATCCAGTGTTCCACGAACGTATGAAGCATATTGATGTTGACTGTCATACGGTTCGCGAATCTGTTCAGCGGCGTGAGGTGTCTACACGATATGTTCCTACACGCTACCAGTTAGCAGATATTTTTACTAAACCCCTATCAAAACCAGTCTTTGATTTTTTATTGTGCAAGTTGGGCATTCAAGATCTTCATGCGTCAACTTGAGGGGGAGTGTTAGCGGGTATTTGTAATTGGGTCGTAAATATTGTGTTATCGGGCCTATACATTTAAGCCCATCATGTACTTGTATATATATTGTATCGTGAGTAATGAAACCCAGAACAGTTTCCGCTAAATTTGTACAAAATAAATGATAATTAAATCATAAATCACCGTGTAATAAGAATATATCATGTATTACCGTGTAACAAGAATAATAATATTAATATATCGTGTAATAATATTGCCGTATTTAATCATTATTAATTTATTACCATGTAAAAAGAATGCTAATAATATACTGTGTAATAAAAATACCGTACTTAGTCATTATTATCGTCTAATAATTGTAATCTAAGAAGTTTTTAATATTACCATATTTAATCATTATTAATTTATTACGGTGTGATTATGTTAAAAAAATAAGCTTTCAATTTAATTATGTTTCCATTTAGAGATTTGGTGCCAAATATTTTATGAAGAAATTTAAATATATAAGTTTATGCATTTAAGGAAGGCGCAATTAAAAAAATCAAAATAAAAATTAATAAAAGAAATTAAATAAAAAAATGTCAAAGTAATTCATAGAAATGGTGGAACATATGTTAAGTGTTGAATATAGAAATAATAATTAAATCATAATTTACTTTGTAGCAAGAATAAATCATGTATTGCCGTGTAGAAAAAATAATAATACTAATATACCGTGCAATAATATTAATGTATTTAATCATTATTAATTTATTATCGTGAAAGAGTAATAATAGTAGTAATATACTGTGTAATAATATTATCGTACTTAGTTATTATTATCGTGTAATAATTCTAACCAAATAAGCTTTCAATTTAATAATGTTTCCATTTAGAGATTCAGGCCCAAACATTTTATGGAGACATCGTTTTAAGAGGTGTGCCTTTAATACATGGAAACGTATTGAATTATATATACCTTTATATGTTGAAAAATCAACCACTAATTAATAACTTACCCAGGAAAAATTAGATGCATGGAAATAGAAAAATACTTTAATTTTTTCATATTTTAAATACAGTTATTCTTTAAATAAATAAATGTTTTAAAGTTTGATATACAAAATTTTTTCGTAATTAGCCTCTTTCAAATTTTTTGAATGACTTACACACTCTTGAGTTCTTAAACAAGATTCATGCTTTTGGAGTAGAAAATCATGAAGAAGTCTTTAAATAAATAAATGTTTTAAAGTTTGATATATAAAAATTATACAAGTAATGTAGTTTATAAAAAAAATTCGTTAATTGAAAAATAATTAACTTTTGTACCTTAAAATAATAAAATCTTTATATTTTACTCTCTCCATCACGAAAGAAGTTCCCTTATTGACATTTTGGCAAATTAAGGGAGAGATATTTTTGTATTGACTTTCCAAAAATACTCTAGATGTGATTGATAAAAGTAAGATATGGTAGATAGATTATTAATAAAAAGGTATGATGTAATAGATGGGGTATGAAAAATTAAGGGGTAGAAGTAGTTTTTTAATAGAAAAAATAAGAAGTTTGTGGGACAAAGAAAAAATAAAAGGCGAAGATGTTTAGGGACTGAGGGAGTATTAGATAAGAAATTGTATCCTTCAAAAATGATCTTAATTTAGTAATATAAGTATGACATGTGCAACGCACGGGAGTGATGCTAGTTTTAAGTTCTAACATGGGGTTGGTAATTCGAACAAGCCAAGAAACCACAATGAAAAAGAAAGTGGAAAAATTTTAAATAAAAAAAGGAGGGAGAGAAAAAAACAAGTGCAAATTACAGTCAATAGCCGCCAAAGGTTGACGTCGAGAAAGTAAGATTATTGGCCATGAACAACTGCATGGCGTTAGATTCCAACGATCCATTCTCCGGCCAGAGCTCAGGCCGTGCTGCCGGCGGTATCAACATTTCCATGGCACCGCCGCACCCAAATCCTAAAGTATCCCAAGCCGCCCTGCCGCCGTCTTCCACAACGGTGTACGTGACATTGCCATTCCGACCAATGGCCTCGCCAAAGCTCGGGTCTCCGATCATGTTGCCGCCGTGGTACCCGCCGGTGAAGCTGGTGGTTATGTCAGGCGGAAGAGGCGGTAGCTCCGCCTCTGTCACGGAGGCGTTTCTTTGATCCACCCAGCTGCCGCCGCCTTCACTGAAATAGCAATGTTGAAAAAACTCCCACCCGCCTCCGTCTCGACCTCCGATCTCCGGCATAGCACCGCCTCTCTGGTCACCGGAAAAGAGCAATAATTGATCACTGCTAGCGTTTCCGGTACCGAACTGATGAAGATTCCGGTTCGCCTCTCTGTTCTCCCAGAACAGACGTAACAGAGCATTGTAATGGGGCTCATCGGGAGAGATGACGGAGGTGACAGAAGACGCCGGCGGAGTGTCGGAGTAGACGAAGTTAGTGCGGGCTCTGGATTTGCCGCCCATGGAGCGGGCGGCGCGGTCGTAGGCCAGGGCCGCCTCCTCGGCGGTGTTGAACGTGCCGAGCCAGTGGCGCTCTTTGGTGTTGGGGTCTCTTATCTCCGCCGCGTATCGGCCCCACGGCCGCCGCCGCACGCCGAGATACCTGAATCCGTTTGCATCCCGTTGATGGGTGCCGCCGCCGCTTCTGCTCTTTCTGGTCTTGTTGCGAGAAGAAGGAGACTTGTTCCTGCTCAGGGTCAAGTCCATTGAGTGATTAAGTATTGGTAATTCAATGAATGATATTATAATGATGTGATGCTTAATTAGTGAAGTGTTGGGAGATTAATTAGGGTCATATATATGATTATATGGGGCATGTTTAAGAAAGGGGTGTGGTGCCATGTCAGCAATGATATTGATGTGGTCTCTCCAAAGGAACCTATGACTCCTATGAGGTGAGGATGGTTCAAACGAATGGTGGTTTGCTAGACAGAATTCACCTTGGAATTAAATTGAGAATAAAAAATTTAGGCCCCGTTTGATACACGGAATTCAAATGGTGCAATTGGAATTGAGGACTTTAATTCTAATTTTGGTGTTTGGTAGTATATAAAAATTATGTGGATTTAGAATTGATAGTGTAAAAAATGAATTTGAATAGGTAGAATTCAATTCTATGGAATTGAATCCAATGAAATTTCAATACAATTCCAATTCCGTCAATTCCGTATACCAAACGAACCCTTATAAAATTTATTTTGATGGAATTGAATTATATTCTCCGATTCTAATTTATTTTTTACACTACCTATTTCAAATTTACATATTTTTATATGATCAAACATCAACAATTGAATTATTGTCTCAATTTCAATTTTATAGTTTGAATTTCATGTATTAAACAAAGCCATAACTTCATTTTGAAATGACTAATAAATACGGAGTAATAATCAGTCTCCAAAATTAATGTGCACATTGGAAAGTACCCTCCAATAGTCAAATACTTATTAGAGCACTGGTAATACATGTGAAGCCCCAGGACTTTAAACCTTTATTTTTTACATTTTTAATAATATACACATCTTCTAATTAAATGAAATAAAACTTCATTATTATACATACATACATATATATATATATATATATATATACACACACACACACACACAATAGGGAGTATAAATTAAAAAACAAATAAAATTTACCAACGATAGAATGCTCGGAACCAAGCAGACACCAACAACGATTCTTCAATTCAGAACCGACTCCGGGTCCTAGAGATTTGCCGAGGTTTGCATACCATACATCGACGAATTACCAGCGTATGATTGGAAAATCCATATTGTTCCTCGTTTGGATCGAGACCGGACGAAAGAACGTTAAAACCGAAGGGATTCATATTAAAAATATATACTTGAACAATTTTTTTAAAAGGATAGAAAGATTTGTATTTGTGGTGTGTATTGAATTTTTAAAAGATGGATTGAATATATAGATGAGAGTTTTTTTTTCCAACGATATTATAGGCGTTGTGGGGAGGGGGGGGGGCTCCACCGGCCGAATTTTGGCCTGCAATTTGCCTGAAAAGTTTGACGCCGCAAAATTGACAGTGCAATAACGGGAATGGGGGCTGTAACACCCCAACCCGCATCACCCGAATACTCGGATCAGCGAACCGGGTTGCTGCTAAATTGGTATCCCAAGATCGTTTAATTTTTAAAACAATTTAAATAACATTTCCAAAACATAACTTGATATCCATCGGAGTAATTATCAAAACAGTTGCGGAAGCTTAATTCGTAATTCAAAACACAAATTGGGAATCTTGCCCGAAATAGTAATAAGTTATTTAAATAAATAATAATAGTTCAAAATCGTCGAACACCGCCACGCACGTCTCAGCCTCCTCATCGCCCTCCGTGATTGGCTCCAAGCTCATCATTTCCTCGATTACCTACGTGTAGCAAATAGGAAAAAGGGCTACACGCTCAGCATTGAAGCTAAGTGAGAAATATCTAACATACAGCTATACCCATAGATGATCCCACTAGCCCGTATCCTCATACGATATCATGCACACAACATGCTCAACACATACATATGAACAGATAGAATATTCAGATATAACAGTAATAGCATCATTCAAGTGATATAGTATTCTGGATACAATAACAGATTCTTTCCTCTTGTTTACTTTACTTTCTTTCTGTACTTGGCTCTTAACTGATACTAGGTTAAAGCTTAACTATATACGACTTGCCTATGGGAGTCATGACCTTCCCCTTCGGAACAAAGTTCAAGCTCAAACCAACTCGGGAGTTCCTCGTTGGGTGGGTGAGATCCTTGTCCCCTTCGGAACGACAGTTCCTAGATCCCCGTGTACACGTTTTGACCTAGACAACCATTGGACCCAGCAGGTACCACATGACTCTAGCTTGCTAACTTATGGTAAAACTTGCCACTATTCCATTCAAGTTAGTTCCTAGAGTTCATTCTAGGTATTTCATCCTTTAATTATCAATAGTTCATAACATACATGTTCATGCATCATACAACATTATTTATCACATCAAACATACTCAAACAGCGGCCTAACTCTGAGTATCAACACCCATGTTTACCGTCATGCAACACACAAAGTCTCAGAATTGATCCTCAACAAATTCAGACCAGTTCAGGTACCACACAGTACCCTTGGCGGTAGGGGCTACCGACCCCACGGTACCAGGGTACCGTCCCCACGTTGCGGGGGTACCGACCGTGTCAGCTGGAGTACGGCCCCCTCTGGTAGGCTGTCATGGTAGCCTCTACCGACCAGGCGGTAGGGCCTACCGCCCATCCGGCACCTAGGTGCCGTTTGGTGACAGGTACCGGCAGAGAGAGATGAAACCGGAGAGGCTGGCGGTAGCCAGGTACCGTGTCAACGGTACCTACCTACCGTCTGTCGCGGCGAACACCAGACTGCACCAGCTTCGTTTTCACCCATCAAACAACATCAATCTCAGTAAAAACATGCTTAAACAGGTTCTAAATCATTAATCCAACATTATCTAACAAGCTCTTACATAATCCTGAATCAATTCATGCTTCACGAATCACAAATGAACAACAAGACATATTTCATGTATTTCCAAATAGATCAACCGTAACGATTCTACGAACGTAAGATTCAAACCTATGACTATAACCATACGTTAGATGTCCACGTACTCACCTCGAATTCGACGATTAAAGATTACCGAGTAGTGTTAGCAACGTAGACGACGGACTCCCCTTCTTTCCTTCCTTCTTCCTTCTCTTCTTTCTCTTCTTCTTCTTCTTCTTCTCCTTCTCCTTCCTGCGCCGCTGCTGCCTTCGATCGAGAGAGACGAGAGAGTGTGGAGAGAAGTTACGTACAATATTATGGGGCGTGAGGGTTTTAGGCGTGTAGGGAGTATATTTATACTTTTGGGGTTTTGGACTCTGTATTAACCGAACGTACGTGGCCCAAACACACTTTTCGGGCCTATGGGCTCCAAATCCAAATCCGATTTCACCGTTAGATTCGATCCGTCGAACCCTACACAACGGTATAAGCCTTATCGTCAAACGAAGAATATTTATAATTTCCACCGAGTCCATCTCAGTAATTAATTAGTTATTTTAATTAATTGATTCTGATAGGACGGGTTTCGGGGCGTTACAGGGGCGGTGTTTAACGCCTCCCATGCTTCAAAACCAGCTTAATTAACAATGTGGGCGTCAGTGGCTATTGTATATTTTGATAGTATATATTGTATTTTACACTACCAAATGTGCTTTAGCAACCCATTTTTCATAGCTACTCCAACCATATCTCTTAAAAAATACATTTTTTATATTTTATTATTTTTAAAATATTTATTTGTGATAATATTTATATTTTTAAATATATAATTGTATATGTATATGTCTTTCAAACTATACATATATTGAGTATTTTTATAAGAAACATTATATATAATTGTACTCTAATAAATATATAGAAAAAATAAATTTAATTACAAGATGTGAATAACTTATAATATACTAATACAAGGTGGAACTGGTTTTTAAAATATAGTGTTAATTTTGCACCACCCTTGGAGTGGCAATTTTGTTATAGTGTCTTGTATATAATGTATTTTTTACAATATACAAGACTCATTGGAATTGCTCTTACTTGGGATAAAGTTTATTTTAACTCCGCATATTAAACGAATCAATTCATTTTTATTATAGATAAGTAAAGCTAAGATAAATAGGATTGAAAGTGTTTAGATGGTTGAAATAATATGAGTTCTCACACGAAATATATTCGTTGGAGCGAGCCACCTTTTGAAGTTGTTACAGATGAGTATATCCCATATATGCCACATCAGGAGTTAGAATAGAAAAAATAATCAGTATATAAATTTTAAACTTTTAAATTGAATTAACTATGTAATTAATTGTGTTTAATTTTTTTATGTGGTTCAGTCATAGTGTCTTTTGACCCAGTCCAACTATTTTTAACTCATCCAAAAATTCTACTCCTTCCGTCCAAATTTATATTGCCTGTTTCGATTTACGATGTTTGACTAAAATTATTTTCAAATCATTTTATATGAAAATTGGTGTATAATTAGAAAATATAAATTATATATTAAAATACTATATCAAAAAATCTACAAAAGTAGTTGTGACATTACTATTTTATGTGATCAAATGACAACTGAAAAAAGAGAAAGAAAGTGACTGAAATTTGACCCTGTGATTAATAAACAAATAATTTTAATTGGGACGGAGGGAGTATCATAGTATCAAATTAGATTAAATTTTTTAATATAGTCCAAATCATGTGTCTTATGGTCCAGTTGTGATCATATACTCCTCCGTTCTATAAAACCCTTCCCCTTTCGTTTTTTTTCAATTCCTTAAACACTTCCACTTTCTATTCAAAAACCATTTTTATCCATACTTTTTCATATCCTATCTATCACATCATACTTTTTCGGTAATAACCAAACTATCACATCTTACTTTTACCCATCACATCAGGGGCAAAATTGGAAAATCAACCAAACTTACACTTTCCTTATTTTGGCCCAAAGTCAAAATAGGAAGTGTTTAAAGGAACGGGGGGAGTATATTATTCTATCATGGTAATAAAGTCAATTTTAGCTCACCTTATTTGTCAAAGTATCTATCTAAGCGTTCATTTCTAGCAGCTCTAGTGTTTGGAATAGTTGATCCGGTGAAATGCACGTATACCTAAGGACTTGTGGCTTGTTTATGCCGATTGCTTGTCTAGAACTCCATACCCAGCAGCTCGTGGTTCTTTAAGTGT